TTTTTTTTTTTTTCTAATTAAAATATCAAATCTAAAAAACCTACTGGTAGGATCTGTCATGTTTCGTAATGCTAAAATTCTATGTATTTATTGTACAGCTAGTTTAATGATAAATGTGGTAGAGGTTGGTTAAATGTTTATAAACTCAAGGGGCTACGGTAGCAGGAAAAGCTCATGCTTTATCTTCCTTTGAAAAAATTAAAAATTTTTTTTTTCCATTCATTTCGGCATTGATTAAACTTTTCGCACTTTATCACTTCAAAAGTACTATTTTTTTAAAATTCAATTTGGAGTCAAGAAGTAATCAAACAATTAAAATTATTCCAAAAAAATTAGAAGCAATTTGGATATTGAGATTCAAATTGCCGAAGAGTTTTTATTCGAGTCAGATAAAACGAAAAATAGAAACGGGAAGAAAAACATTTCCATCACTAAACTGTCATAAACTTTTCTTTCAAGATACATTTTATGTACTCAGCCGTAAAGCATGATAAATATTTTTACTAATGTTTTCAGTTGTATCACTTCCAGAAAGAATCGTAAGATTAGGAATTCCCAAAAACTAAAATCGGTTCTTTCCAATTTCCAATGCTTATTTCAAGTTTTAGAAGAAAAGCTTAGAGTAGAAAAAAGCTTTTGTCAATTATTTAAGAGCTCTCAAATCCTTATCTACTTTGAAAACCAGGAATTTTTTTTCTGAGTTATGTTACAATCTTTTTAATCAGCTACTTACAGGATGGCTCTGAAGGAACAGCGAATAATGTCCAACAGAATCATTTGCCTTTGACTACCAACCTTCTACTAAAAAGAAAATAGAAAGCTAAAAAATTCTAAATTTATTGAGTCTTACCTGGCGTCAGAAAATTTGCGTTTGGTAAGACAGAATAGGCTGCCTGTAGACAATTAAATGGTATTTCAACTTTACAATTGTTAACTGTTTTCTCAACTACCGAACGCTGAAGTTCGCTCGGCAACAGTACAGCATTTGGATTCATTATTACTTGAAATACCCAACAATTTTATTACCTGAACTATATAATAGCTTACCGCCACCACCACCACTACAGCTGTCAACCACCTTGATTAAGCAATAAGCATTCACCAATAACTAGTAAAATTTGCAGTTAAAAGGATCGAGAATAAAAAATCCGACTATTTTTCAGCAGCGCTATTTGACTCGCCAATCAGCACCAATAACAGCAGAAACAGCAAAGACACACTTTTCATTCAAAAAATTTTTTCTCGAGTATACTGTAAATCTCAATATTTACAGATGATCCAATTAACACCGCCGAGATCATGTTACTTCTTATGCGCGCCACTCAATGAAGCAATTTTAAACCTCTTGAAAGTCTTTTTTTCCTCCGTCCTTTTCCTTCACCTCGTGTTTTCTTCCTTTTTTTTTTTCTACTTATATGGTGCTGCTGCTAAAGCTGCTGTTTGTTGAAGCTGCTAATTTTAGAGGGTGCTGTTACTGTGTGGTAAATTTTTTTTTATTCCGCTCTTTCAACTGGAACTCGGCGTTTCTTCTGCCGCTTTTCCTTTATAAGCCTCCGTTTGTGTGAAGTTGATGTGAATCATTGTCATCACCAACCGCAGCAACATCAGTATCAGCGTCATCGCCGTCACTGCCGGTTGCTCTATCAACGCTTTGCATTGCTGTTATTTCGCAAGGATCGACTTACACACACAAATGCGCAAATACACATACAGAGAAACACACACACTTTAACACTCAAAAAAAAAAAAAAAATAATGTCGCTGTGAATCTCAATAATTGAATGAAATTTATACTTTTATTACATTGAAAATTGTCATCACGTTTTATTTCTCATTTTCAGAAAAATGAAGAATTTGTTTTGATTTAGACGATAGAATAACAACAACAAATGGAAAAAAAATTGACGAACTTTCATTAAAAGGTGCAGTTAAAGTGAGAGGAACTTAATGAATTTTCAAGCATAAAATTTCCGGATATTGTATCTGTTTGCTATCTTTATTTCTTTATTCTATCGCTGTCATTATCATTTTTCCTTTCTTTCACTTTATCAGCTTCATTTTCTTCGCCATCATCAACTTCGTTCGTTTCCTCCAAGCTTTTTTCATTTAACATTAAGAAGTGATACACACTAAAAAAAGTATAAACTTTACTTTTCTTTGGCAAAAAAAAAAAACCGCTTTTTGAAAATACTGACGTTAGCTCAACAACTGCAAAAAAGAACTCGTTTTTTTTTCTTTTTTGGAGGGGGGTTCAAAGTGTACTGTAAGCAAAAAAATCGAATGAAAACGAGAAAGTGCCTGTAACACGTTACTGTTCCTTTTTTTGGTTGGTTTTAGGAAACTTTCTTTCCCCAAAAACTGATTTGACTGAAAATAGCTGTACTGGCTGTACTGCGTGGAAAAAAACCATGCAGGTCTAATTTACCGTTAATGGATGACACCGTCTGAAGGCGGAAAAAGGAAGAGAAGGGCGACGAAAAAAATTATCAAGATTTTTCCGATAAGCAAATTCGGTGATCAACTGAAAAACTTCTGCGTTAAGTGATTGGTCTATGAAAAAATTTCTACGGAATTATAAGTCTACTAATGCCCTAAGTTGGAAATTTTCGCAAACTGGTTTACTGTTCAAATTTGTTTATTGATAATTGCGTATATTTCTCTGCTTCTTGCTTTTTTTTATGTCAAAAAAGCACTCCCCTCATTTAAAGTTGCCAAAAACTTGAACCGATTGATCGAAAATATGAAAAATGCTGCAAAACAAGACAACAGCAGCAGTAGAGAAAAATGTATTATTGGTTGGAGGAAAAACATGACTAAAAAGACAAAAGGTGTCTATTTTGAGTGAATCAATAGAACTGCCGTATTGTCTGATTGTTATCAACAGTGTTCCAAAGTTCATTTCAAAATGTTTTGACAAAATAGCAGTAAAATGAATGAATGAAACATAGAACTTTTAAGAAAATTTGAAGTTTCTAATCGTTATCAAAAATAAAGAAGGCAAAGGATACCGTTGTATGGATGTTATGTGCCATTGACTGAATATTAATTATTCAGAATGGAAGTGTTAAAGTTGTATCAAGTTTTCTTCAGTAATTTGCAGATTACAGTTAAAAAACTGTTTTTTATATCCATAGAGCGTCGAACAGAAAAAAAAATGCATTGAGTAATGTTCAACCCTGTGTGGAAAAAAAAATAAAAAGTTTTTTTGCTGTCTTTAGTCTGAGATTAACGAAAATGATTTCAACGTTTTGATAAAACTGTTTTTTTTTTTCGTTGTCTTGTTTTTGTTATTTTTGGTGGTGGTGGTGTATTTGTTGTGCGATCATCAATATAATATCATTTGATTTTCCATTTGGCGTCTTTTAGTCGATAGACAACTTAAATAACATGAAGTATACATATCCGATACTATATCAAACCAATATTCATACAAAAATCAATTGCATCATTAATTAGGTTCATTAAATAAACTGTAAAAATGGTCAAGAGGAGTGACAACTGTTTAGGGGGATATAACCATCCAAATGGACGCACCCAAACACATTTAAACAAATAATGAAAGACTGATATACGATAACTCACTTAGACAGTTCAGCCGCATTCACTGAGTAGCTAGTACTACTCAAGTTTTGATTTAAACCAACTTCAGTTTGAGAAAATACTTGGTAATAAACGTTTTCTGGGCAAACAAGAGCTATACAGCAATTCATGCGCTTTTTTACTTTGAGCTGTAGGCTTCTGAATCGCTGTATCCCCTAGCAAGTCCATTCCTCCCTTCCCGGTATATTTCGGTGCAGTGGAACTTATAAATTTGACAGCCTTTTACGGTAGTTTAAGAAACAAACAATTTAAAATAAGCAATCACTCGATTAATGTTATTTTGTTAAGTAAATGACCAGCAGAAATGATAGCAAAGTTAAGTCAAGCGAAATAAGAATGAAGAATAATTGTTGAAATGATAGCGACAATACTTCTTCTTCGGTTTTTGCAGATTTATCAACTCGCAATTACAGGTTTTAATAATACAAGACTATAACTTTTGAAAAGTTATTATAAAAAAAAGGTTCAAATTTTTTTTTCATTCTCTATTTTTGGTTTACTGTTTACCTGGTCAGCCAACATTGTGACTGTTTTCGAACAATTCTTACTAAATTGCGGTTTTCACATTATTTATGTTTTTCTTACCAAACTTCTCGCTGAATTCTGTAACAAACACAATAAAGAGCACAAACACAAGTTTTGAATATCTTCACTTATAAGACGATGATGATGAAGACGATGATGATGAAGACGATGGCGATGATAATAATGATGATGATTACGATGACCTATTAAAGAAAAGGACAAAAAATTGCAAAATTTTAAACCAGTTAAAACGAAAGTATTTTAACTATCAGAAACCGCAATTTGAACCTTCCTTCTGTGTTACCAGAAAAAAGGGCAAAAGTCTGTACTGTTGAACAATCGCTTCTAAACTATTAAATATCACAGTTAAAGTTAGAGCCACAAAACAACTCCGATGATATTCATTATTTACAGCTTCGTGCTATTTACTTTTGTTGGATGAATAAATATTAGTATTTTTCTTATGCCATTCACTTCCATTACTAAAACAGCATTCAGGTTCTGGAACCTTGCACCGTTCTTCTCTTTGACATCCAGTCGATGATTATTATTAAATTTCGGTTTAAATGATTGCTGCTCTTCAAACTGATTTGTTATTGAAAATTGTACTGTTCCAATGTTTCAATGTTGACTCCGTTACTCTGTTTCGGCTGTGTTCTGGCCTCCCCTCGCTTTCTGCTTTTGTTTTATTAAGACTTTTCTAACGTAACTTTCCTGTACTTTAATTAATGGCAAATAACAACCAAAACAAAAAAAGAAAAATTTTCTTGAAAAGTAAAACAATTCAGGTGATATTCACGTCAAATTTGGTCATTCATATACTAAAAGACGAAAACAAAAGTAAAAGAGAGTGGAAAATATTGTTGTGCATTTATTTTGCACTAATCCGTAGTAGCAGAAAATTTAAAACAATTTTACTGTCCAATCAGTGTATTTTCATCGAACACGACTAAAATTAGTTATATGAATCAATAAAGGAAAGAAAAAAGTAAAACACAAACTTTTTCCCGCAGCTCTTCATTCAACGTTAACCTTTTTTTCTTCCCGGCTAAAAAATTACAACAAAAATAAAAAGATAGATGATACAGACAAGAATAACTGGATTTCCATGTCAGATTATAAAGTATGATAATTTTTTCATTTTTTTAATGGAAGATTCCTTCACTTCGACTTATCCGTACCATCTGAAGACTTAGGTACGTTGAAAAAAGTGGCCCTTTTCAAAACAAGAAGAAAACAACTAAGGATTCCATCAACCGCCCAGTGTTTTTGACAGCAAATTTACGAACATCAAGGGAATGTTTCGATCTGACTAATACTGCGCTCGTTTTTGATCCTGTTTTGCACCAAGTATTCTGCAAAAAAGTTGCCAAAAGCATTTGAAAAGGCTTAGTAGTCAGAAAGTGCCGTCTATTGTTTCAGGTTCGTCGTTTGATGTGCAGTTCCACAGGTCGGCAAACCTCAGTTTTTGATTTGTCCGCCACTTTTTTCTTGGTGGTACATGTATGTGTGTACTCAATTAATCTTTTGAAAAACTTTGTGAAAATTGTTAAATTTCTCAGTAGCAAAGTTTATACTTCTTTAAAGTTCTTTTTTTTTTCACAAAGTTTATAAATTCCTCCTTTGTTTTCCAACTGTTTCCAGCATATACAAACCATATTTAAATTACTGCTAAATCTCGTGACTTTTTTATAAACTTTTTTATACACTTTACTGTCTGTAAGAATAACAATAAAATCTAGTATATTATTTCAACTGCGTGCGTTTAACATTATTTCTGATTTACTTGCTTTACTAGCAAATCAAAAAAATCTTACAGATAGAGGAGTTTTTCTCAAACACTTTTACGATTCTAAAAACCTAAAAAAGCCAACTTTGCTAAGCTCTATTTATTTGACTAATTACAATGTTACCTAACAATTATACTGATAGCAAGAACATCTCGGTAACTAGTGCGGCATTCTAAACATCTGTTGTCGTATTTAACAACATTTTTTCTTAATGTGCTATAATCTAAACTGTGCTACAGATCGGCTAAAATGTTAAGAAATGGTGGTGGACTTCTAAGAAGACTGGTAAGACGGCTGTCGTCATCAATCCCAAAAGATCCAAAATCGGGGTTACCAGCGATTCAGGACCTCAAAAAGCATATTATTCGTGATGCACATGGAAACTACGATCCATCTACGTTTCGTGCTCGACACACAACACTTAAAACAAGAGCTGACTTGAAGAATGCTCAACGAATTATAGTAAAGATGGGCAGTGCGGTGATAACCCGAGATGATGAGTGTGGTCTCGCTCTTGGTAGGCTGGCATCCATAGTTGAACAGGTCAAAAAGTCTTTTTATCAACCAAAATTTGGATAAATGCATAATTATTTAATCCAAACATTTAAAAGTAAAAAAGCTGAAGATTTGTTCTGCGTCAATCGACCAGCTTACGAAACAATCTTAAAGTCTGCAATTCAGACAGACAATGGGAAAAAATCTGCTGAAAATTTAAAGAATTTCAGGTATCAGAATTGCAACAGATTGGGCGTCAGATGCTCATTGTTTCATCCGGTGCAGTAGCATTTGGGAGACAAAAACTTCGTCATGAATTGGTAATGTCGTTGTCAATGCGACAAACCCTTCGAGGTCCAGCAGGCATCCAAACTGATAAACGAGCGTGTGCAGCGTCAGGAATGCCCGGTCTTATGAGCCTTTACGAACAACTTTTCCAACAGTATGGAGTTACTGTTGCTCAGGTAATATTATTGTGTCTGTTTTTTATTATTTATCACATTAAAGATTGTCTTTCGCTATCAGAGTAGATAAACAAAAACAGTCATATTTTAAAAAACCAGTGGAATTTATTCCTCCATTACTACTGCTGATAGTGGCTTACGAACTTAGGTTTTGTTAACAAAGCCTGATATCGAAGATGATCAACGAAGGAACCACTTGAAGTCAACAATCGAAAGCTTGCTAAATCTAAATATAATACCAATTGTGAACGCTAACGATGCTGTTGCACCTGACCCAAAACAGAACGCTGTTGGTTAAACCTTCTTATTTTCGAACAAAAAATAAAGAGGTTCTGAAAGCATTTTACTTTTTACTTAGTATCTTAACTAATTTTTTTTTCTACAGCACATAAGTGACAACGACTCACTGGCTGCAAAACTTGCAGTCACAATTAATGCAGATCTTTTGGTTATTCTGTCGAACGTTAGCGGTCTATACACCGGTCCGCCTGGATTAGAAGGCTCCAGACTTATTCACACATACTCGCCGTTTGAAAACACTGGGGTAGTTTTTGGAGAAAACTCCAAATTTGGCACAGGTGGAATGGAATCTAAGGTTTAATTTAATACCTGGACTACTAATCACTGCTAAAAACGATATTGTCATATAACAAAATCTATCATTGGTTTTAATTATATTCCAAGCAGTTAATCTTCTAGGTAGCGGCTTGCGCAGCAGCCCTTCAGAAAGGCGTCGCTACAGTGATCACAAGTGGTATGGACCCATCAGCTATAACATCAACAATTGCTGGAAAAAAAGTTGGAACGCTATTTACGCAGTCAACGTCTTGTGAAGGTCCACCAATTGAAGAAGTTGCTACCAAATGTAAGCTTTAATTATCTACACCAAAAAACAAGACAAAAACAAGATTTTAAAACAAGTGCCAGCATTATAATATATTGTTACTGCAGGTCGTGAAAATGGTCGAATGCTACAAATGCTCACTAACGAAGATCGCGCAAATATCATCAAACATCTTGCAGATCTTATGGTGTCTCGTCAAAAGATCATCATGGACGCCAACCGTCTAGATATAACAAATGCAGAGAAGAACGGTAAAAAATTAGCTACCGTTTGCTAAAACCAAATAGAACTTTATTTTTGAAAGACTCCAGTACTAGAAATAGGCGTACAAAAACAAAGTGAGGTTTTGCAGAACTAGTTACTCCACAAAAAAATGATACATCAAAAAAAATTCAGGCTTGGAAAGGCAGTTATTATCGCGGTTAAAGCTTACGGAAGCGAAATTAGAATCCTTGCATGCTGGACTATATACAATTGCTGAAACGGCCAAAACGCTTATTGGGAGAACTATCAAGAAAGTTAGAATCGCTGAAGAATTAATTCTTGAACAGATTTCCGTACCAATTGGAACCATTCTAGTGATATTCGAGTCTAGACCTGACTGTCTTCCACAGGTTTTTAATCCAGTTCATTTCACAAATCTGACGAACAATGAAGCTGAATAATAATGGAGAACAAGCAGAGCGCTGCACAGACTTTTGCATGAAAAACTGTGAAGAGTTGAAGCAAACCAATCCATCCCCGTTACGATCTTTCAGGTTGCCGGTTTATCCATAGCATCTGGAAATTCACTTCTGCTAAAAGGTGGCAGAGAAGCCGAAGAAACCAACCGAGTACTGCACAGTTTAGTGCAAGTAAAGTTTCATTTTTCAGTTCAAACATTTTCGCAGATCAG